CCACTGCACTATCCCTTCCCTCTGCACCCAGAGACTCCCTCCATTCACACCTTGCTCCTAATCGTTCCCTGATACTTCCTTGGCCTAGTGTTTCTCAACCTTGGCTGCCCTTAGAATAAGCTGTGGAGTTTTAAAAAATCCCGATGCCTGCCAGGTACAATGGCTCACACCTATAATCCCAGCACTTTGGGAGACCAAGGCAGGAAGATCACTTGACCCTAGGAGTTTGAGACCAGCCTGAACAACATGGTGAAACCTTCGTCCCTACCAAAAAAAATACAAAAATTAGGCATGGTGGTGTGCACCTGTAGTCCCAGTTACTCTGGGGACTGAGGTGGGAGGATTGCTTGAACCTGGGAGGCAGAAGCTGCAGTGAGCCAAGATTGGGCCACTGCATTCCAGAGCAAGACTCTATCTAAAAGAAAAGAAAAAATCCTGATGCCCAGGCCCTACTCCTGAACAGCTGAGTCAGAATCTCAAGGAGGGGAACCCAAACAACTCTATTTCAAAGCTCTCCAAGCAATTTCAATAAGCAGACAAGGTTGAGGACCACCTCACCTAAAATGTCCTCTTGTCTCTCAGCTGGCCTGAATCCAACCCATTCCCTAAAACCCAGCTGCAGTATTCTCTCTCCATGAAGCCCTTCCATGCTCCTGTACTCACATGGGTGAATACTCCTGTACTTTCTACATGGGTCCTATTCCTTTTCTTTTATTGTATCCTGCTTTGAATTATATTTATTTATGTAACTGCTGGTCTCTCCTACTAAATCAGGAATTGGCCAAGATTTTCTGTAAAGGGCTAGAGAGTAAATATTTTAGGCATTGCATGACATACAGTCTCTGTCATGATTACTAGATTCTGCCTTTGTAGTGTGGAAACAGTCATAGATAACACGTAAATGAGTGAGTGTGGCTGTGTTACAATAAATCTCCATTTACAAAAACAAGTGGTGAGCTAGATTTGGCCTGAAAGTTGCCATTTGCTAACTCCTGCATGAGATTAATAAAGCTTCTTGGGGGTAGGGACCTTTTCTTCTCTATAAAGCTTTCCTTCCTTCCTTCCTTCCTCCCTCCTTCCATCCCTTCCTTCCTTTCCTTCTTTTTTCTTTCTCGTTATTTCTTTCCTTTCTTTGTCTTTTTTTCTCTCTCTCTTTTCTTTTCCATCCCTCTTTCTTTATCCCTCCCTTCCTTCCTTCCCTTCCCCCTATTCCTCCTTCTCTTCCTTCCTTTCCTCCTTTTTTCTTTCTCGTTATTTCTTTCCTTTCTTTGTCTTTTTTTCTCTCTCTCTTCTTTCTTTTTTCTTTTCTTTCCTCTTCCTCCAACCCACTGTCTCCTTTCTCTTTTCTTTCTCTTTCTTTCTTCTTTCTTTCTTTCTCTCCCTCCCTCTCCCTCTCTTCTTACTTTCTTTTTCTTTTCTTCTCTCTCTGTCTTGCCATCCCTCATGTCTATTGCAGTGTTTGAACCAGAGAAAACAATAAAATTCCGTTTGTAGAGCTCTATGTGATCAGTTTCTCACAACCAGAGCCCTAGAGCATGAATAGCCAAAGTGAAGCGGGAAGTATCAGGGTTAATTCTGCCTTTTAGGCAACTACTAGTATTTATCTTACTTGTCATGCCCAATAGGACCATCAAATAAACAACTGCCATTTGTGGTGCACCGATTAGCAACAGCAACCAATGTTGACTTAATTCCCCATTATTAAAAATGGTGCCCACTCCAAACAAGAAGTAAAGGAATCATGACTCTCTGGCCTGTAGTCAAAGGCAGGGTAACATTCTGAGAGCTCATTAATGTACATCACTGTGAGTACTCAAACTTGTCATAGGGGGTCATATTAATCAGGAAACATGTTGGGAAATACCATGGAAAGAAAAAAATAAACTGTCTTGCTAACCATCTCCAAATATTGCTTATTTAAAATAAAACTATTCTTATACCATCACACTCATCTCAGCCTGAGATGGACCTTAATTCACTTTTCTTCTTCCTACTCCAAAATGTATATCAAGTAATAATAAGAAAAATGCTGTGTACAAACTACTGGTTTGGAATACATAGCCAGAGCAATAATAATAATACAAAAATAAATGAGAGTTATGAATAAGGAAAAGAAAGAGACAATATTCAGTGACCACATGATCATCCGTATATGTGATGTCAGAACACCTGAAAAGATTGGGGACTCACAAAATCATGTGGCCCTGCTCCTTCTTTGGAGAAAGTCAATCTATTAGAACCTAAGTCACAGCAGAGGCTAAGTCTGGCTTGTGAAGAAATGGAATAGACCAGCTGGCTTTATCTTTGACCACCAACCACTTGTCCTGGTCCCCTGCCTTGAGCTACAGCTTCCTGATTTCTCATCATTACAGGGCAAGGAGCCATTCTCTGCAAAGTTTGCAAAAGAAAAACTGTTTGAGATTGCAGGGATTTGGCATTTCCCAGGAAGCCTTAAATTAACAAGACAGGAACCAAGATGTGAAACCCCATGTACAGGAATGAGGATACCACCATCCCAGAATATTGAAGGTCCAACAGAGACCAGCCTGTGGCTGCTCTTAGACTTAGAGGGCCAAAGGCAGGGCTGAGGCTGAGTATCTCCACAATTATCCTTCAGGGTTCTCAGCAGCATGAGAGTCTTAAGGAAGACAAACTCAGGTCAGTAGAGGAAGGACTGTGAGCTTCCCAGAGATACCAAGATGATGAACCTGAATAAAGAATAAAGGAAGGAACAAGCCAGAGCAGTGGGGTCCCATAGGGTCCTGCCCTGGCTGACAGGTCTTGTCATTCTGGAATAGTCCTGGTTGGATTTGGCTCATCCTGATTAAAAACTCTGTAGCCCCAGGAAGGTGAGGGTCTTGATCAGAAGGGAGCAGCCTCAGGTCCCAGGATGATTGAGTTCCAGGAGTAGTCAGGTGTCAAGGTGAGGAATTTCAGGGAGGAATTAGAAAACCACACACCCACACTAGACTAGAGAAAGATACAAAAGCTTTTACCTCTGCCAACCCACATCTCCCCTTCCCCACACTGCCACTACCACACTATCCCATCCCCACTCCTGCCACCGCATCCTCACCCCTCCTGTGACTTGGGAAGCCCAGGAAGAGCTGTCAGGTTGAGGTGACTGTCATTTTGGCCTGGAGGGTCTCATGGAAAGGAGAGTCTTGGTCTAGTGGCGGCAGCCCCAGCTGTGCATAGCAGAGCCCCAGAAACTGACTTGAATCAAAGTGAGGACCCTGAGTGACATAAGGGAATGGCTATGAGCAAAAAATAAAAACAAAAATAAAAAAAATGATTAATCCTATCAGGAATAGCAAACACCTCAGCTGAGAATTGCCTTATTCCTGCTTAGATGCTCTAAGGAGGGTAGTGACTCTCTCTAAAGGCAGAAGCACAGTTCAGCTGAGGGAGGAGAACTGAACACTAACAGGAGTCCCGGAGAGGATACTGAGTACAGCGGAAAGGACTACTATGCAGAAAGGACTTCTATGCAGAAAGGGTCCCCGAGCAGACCCCACAGGGCTTCGGCCGGATGTGACTCACTCAGACTTCCGCCTGCCGGGGAAGCTGACAGAAGGTGAGGTTCTTCGTCTGAGGGACGCCAACTCAGGCTACTGGAACCCCAGGACTGGTTGGGTATTAAGGTGAGGACCCTGATCTCAGACTGAAGGGTCCACCCGCATGCAGCCAAGGCGACCCCACTGCGTCTTCCAACTCCCACTTCTCGGCACCTACCTCCCTCAGCCATGGGAAGTTCCAGTCAAGCTGTGGCGCTGACTTCTGAGAGGGCATGGGGGGAGGGAGGGCTTGGTGTGAGGGTGAGGCCCCGATTCTGCAGAGGGACGGACACTTAGGCCCTAATCATAAGGAGGTCCCTGATGCTGATAAGGGGACCTCTCCCGAACATGGGAGGCACATAAGGTGGCGTGGTGGCTGACACCTGTGATCACAGTGCTTTGGGAGGCTGAGGCGGGAAGACTGCTTGAGCCTAGCAGTTTCAGACCAGCCTGAGCCACAAAGCGAGACTCGCTCTCTCCAAGAAAGAAAAGAGCAAAAACTAGCAGGGCATGGTGGCCAGCGCCTGGTGGTCTGAGCAACTTGGGAGGCTGAGGCGGTAGGATCACCTGAGCCCAGCAGGTCGAAGCTGCAGTGAGCGATGGTCACGCCATAAGCGTGGCAACGGAGTGAGACCCTGGGTCTGTCACAAAGAAAAAAAAAGTAAGGGAGCCAGAGAGCCAGGTTTCTGCTGCCCTGTAGTCAGCTCTAGGGGACCCCGTGCAGGCATAGCCAGACGGGGCATGCCCTGACTTTTCCCTTTAACAACTTTAATACGTGAGAGCTTGGGCCTGGGCCTGGCTGAGTGAGGTCTGTAGAGTGACGTGAGTCGCGTGTCCCAAAGAGTTGGAGGTCCCACCCTGAGCCAAGTTCAGAACTCTGAGGTAGAACAGTGGGGTCCCCTACAGTCCCACCCCTGCCCTGAAGGCCCTAAACAGCCTTGAGAAGATGCGGCTTACCTTGAAAGTTCAAATCTGAGGTCTCATGGAAGCAAGGACCTTGCTGTAAAGGATGTGGCCTGTCGTGAGGTGAGGATGGAGTCCCAGGACTGGTCAAGAAGCAAGGCACATGGTAGCTCGCCTGTAGTCCCAGCTACTTGGGAGGCTGAGGCAGGGGAACCACTTAAACCTGACAGGTGGAGATTGCAGTGAGCAGAGATTGCACCACTGCACTCCAGCCTAGTGACAGAGCAAGACTCAGTCTCAAATAAATACTTTTTTTTTTTTTTTTTTTTGAGACAGAGTTTCGCTCTTGTTACCCAGGCTGGAGTGCAATGGCGCAATCTTGGCTCACTGCAACCTCCGCCTCCTGGGTTCAGGCAATTCTGCTTCAGCCTCCTGAGTAGCTGGGATTATAGGCACGCTCCACCATGCCCAGCTAATTTTTGTATTTTTAGTAGAGACGGGGTTTCACCATGTTGACCAGGATGGTCTCGATCTCTTGACCTCGTGATCCACCTGCCTCAGCCTCCCAAAGAAATAAATAGATTTTTAAAAAGAAGTTCTGCATGAGGAGGGAGGAAAACAACCACGCAAAAACACAGGAGACCACATAAAGTCCCAGCTCTTCTGTGTGCCTTGGGAAACCATGCCCAGAGCCATTAGCATTTGGTGACCCCTTGTGTCCTGAAGTCGGGGGGGTGGCGACTCAGAAAAGTGGCTCTTTTGCACCAATGAGCGAGGCCCCATTCATGGTGGGGTGGGGAGGAGGAGTACCTGCTGGGAGTCAAGGGGAGAACACTGAATGAGAAGAGGGAGCCCCTCCCACGGAGAAGTAGTCCATATAGAGCACCACCCCCACCTTGACCCCTGGGAGACCCAGGCACATTGGCATGGTGAGTGGCATTTCTCCACAGGGCATCTTGGGAAGGTGAAGAGCCTGGGTAAAAGGGACAGCCTCAAGACAGCTGCTGGAGGTTGTTAAGCTCTTGCCAGGAGTCAAGGTGAGGACCCTGAGGACTGAGGGGACCACCCATGTGTAACTGTGGGGCCAACACAGAAAATCTCCACTGTTTCCAGTCTTGGGAAATGATGAGCATTTGTGGCCAGCTGAGGTGACTGTCACTACTTCCTAGAGGTATTACAGAATGGAGGAGCTGGTATGAGGGACTAAGTCTCAGCTTAAGACAGGGGTGTTTTCCAGGTAGTGACGGGAGTCAGGGTTAAGATTCTGAGTGAGGGCTGAGGAGAGCACTCACTGGGATCCAGGGGCACCACAAAGTCTGGCTTCCCTCTCAGGCCTGGGAAACCCCAGGAAAGGAAATCAGATAGAGGGCCCCCCACTTCTAGCCCCTGAGTTTGCAGGGTGAACACAGCCTGGGGCTGAGGCTGGAGGAATATGGTGGGCTGAGGGACATGTCCCATATCCTGCCTAAGTGAAGACTAACAGGGCCACCAAACCCAGAATATCAGAGGCTCTGAGAGTCCAGACTTGGCTACCAGTCCAGAAAGACAATGAACAGGAGTGGCTGGAGGGGACTCATGCTTTCTTTCCCCTTGGGGTGGCGGCAGGGTCTCCACAAGGTGAAGGCCTTGACCTGAAGGGAGGGGCCTCAGACAGTGAAGACCCTGAGGAGTGTGGAGCCACCTGCCCCAAATTAGCAAGAGCACCTCAGGATCCCTCTCTGTCAGCGGTTTGAGGCCCCAGATAGGGATGTCAAGTCCAGGTGGCCTCAGTTTCCCCTCAGAGGAAACAGAGAAATGAGGATTTTGGTCCCAGGCAGGGCTGGCAGGCTCCAGGACAAGGAACACTGTGACTTCCTCCCCAGGGTCCCCAGGGGATAGGCTGACCTGGAGAGCAGGAGCCAGCTGGGGGTGTGGAGCAGGGTCCTCAAGGACGCCTGCATAGGGGCCTCCCTATAGCCAAGGTGGTACCTCCTTGCTGAGGGGCTCACATCTTTTGGTCCTCCTGCTCCAGGTGCGTGCCTCCTGTGCCCTCTTGCCTCCTGCCCCTGAGCACAGTAATCATGCCTCGCGGTCAGGAGAGTAAGCGTCGTGCCCGTAAGAAACGCTGCCAGGCTCGAGGTGAAGACCGATGTCTCAGGGGTGCTCAAGCCACCGCAGCAGAGGAGGAAGGGCTGCCATCCTCCTTTCCTGCATGCCAGAGTGCTTCCCAGAGCTTCCCAGCTGAGGGCATTCCTCAGGAGTCCCAGAAAGCTAGATACCCCAGCTCTCCAGCTGCAGCTGTTTCGCTCACAAGTTCTGATGAAGGTGCCAAGGGCCAAAACGGGGAAAGTCCCAACTCTTCCCGAGGCCTGTCCTTCTCTGAGAGCTCAGGAGAAGACCTTCTGGATGTGAAGACGGGCCAACTGGTGCAGTTCCTGCTCAACAAGTATACGAGGAAAGAGCTCTTTACGAGGGAAGCCATGCTGAAGGTTATCGACAGAAAGTACAAGCGGCACTTCCCTGAGATCCTCCGGAGAAGTGCCGAGAATGTGGAGTTGGTCTTTGGCCTAGAATTGAAGGAAATGGACCCCAGACATCACTTATATATCCTTGTCAGCAAGCTGGGCTTTCCCAATCAAGAGAGTCTGAGCGATGGCGGGGACTTTCCCAAGAGCGGCCTCCTGATGGTTCTCCTGAGTGTGATCTTCATGCATGGCAACCGTGCCACTGAGGAAGAGATGTGGGAATGCCTGGGTGCATTAGGGATGCATAAAGGTACGGAGGACTTCATCTTTGGGGAGCCCCAGGAGCTTGTCACGAAAGATTTGGTGCGCGAGGGGTACCTCGAGAACCAGCAGGTGCCCGGCAGTGATCCTCCACGCTACGAGTTCCTGTGGGGTCCCAGGGCCTACGCTGAAATCAGCAAAATGAAAGTTCTGGAGTTTGTGGCCAAGCTCAATGATACCGTTGCCAGTACCTACCAGCCCCAGTATGAGGAGGCTCTGAGAGATGAGGAAGAGCGAGCCAGAGCCAGAGCGGCAACCAGAGCGGCAGCCAGGGCCAGATCTAGCAGGTCCTCCCAGCCCTAGGGAAGTCTCAGGCAGTCCTCACTAAGAGTCTGAAAAGGGCTGTCCACCATCTGAGTATTTGAGGGTGAGGTGGGGCTGGAGAGAGTCCAAGGCTTGTGTCTTTCTTGTGTTCTGGTTATTTGCAAGCTACTTGTAGATTCCTCTTTCTCTTCTGTGTCTACCGTATGTTCCTTTGAAAGAGATTGACTTTGATTCAGAATCTAAGTTCATGAATTAGGTGCCTCACACAATGGTTGCTGTTTATCACATTAAAGAGTGATGTTCTTACATTTTGTAAAACAAATTGGAAATTTTTACTTATTAGATTGTGATCTAATGCCAGAAGAAATAGCATTGGAATAAGGACTGGCTTTAAACTGAAAAAACTGAACACTGAATCAGTTGGGATCACAAGATGGTGGGGAAAAAAATGTCAATTGATTGGCAACCTTTGACATTTTAAAATCTTATTTCTTTAAGTCTTTTGTTGTGATCAAATGAAAAGCTATATACTTATAGTTACTATGTGTATTCAAGAATGTTGGCGAAATTAAATCCTCATAAAGGAGAACACTTGTTGACTGGCTCTTTTGTTCCTTATACTTACTGCTCTAAAGGCATACCTGAGATGGGGTAATTTCTAAAGAAAAGAAGTTGACTTGGCTCACAGTTCACCAGGCTGTACAAGCATGGCACCAGCAACTGCTTCTGGAGAGGCCTTGGGGAGCTTTTCCTCATGCCAGGAGGGGAAGAGGGTGCAGGCATGTCACATGGCAGCAGTAGGAGGAAGACAGCCAAGAAGAGCGGGGGTGGGAGGCGCCACATGCTTTCAAATGACCAGATCTTGTGAGAAGTCACTTACTATGGCCAGGGCAGCAGGATGCCATGAGGGACCCTCCTTGATGGTCCAAATGCCTCCCACCAGGCCCCACCTCCAACACTGGGCATTACATCTCAACATGACATTTGGAGGGGACAAACATCCAAGTTATTCATTCACCAAACAGGAATTGAACATCTGCTCTTTGACAGTCTTCATGCCAGTTCTGGGAAAGCCCCAGCCCCTGCCAATGATATTTCAGAATCCAAGAGCAGCTCTCCTATTAGGAACACAGTGGAGTGGAGGGTGGGCAGGGGAGATACACTGGAATACCTAAGGGGCAATCAAGGGACTGGAGAGGAGGGAGGAGATTCAAGATAGGATCCTCCCCGCATCACCTCCTCCCCCACTATAAATGCCCTGGGACAGGGCAGGCTGGGAACTTGGGACACTGCCAGTTCCTCAGTAGGCGGGCATTTCAAGTTAGCCTGCATCGGGGGCTAGATGAGGCTATTACTGAAATGGCAAGCAGAGGCCAGACCCTCAGGTGGTGGGTTTCAGAGTGGACAGACTAGGACTGCAAGGCAAAAGTGGTCCCACCAGTTCCTTAGGGATGAGGTAGACCAGAGGTGCATCCCCACCTGGGACAGGATTGGAGGGACTCCTGTGCTGTGTCCCCATGCCAGTGAGCACAGCGTACTATATAGGTGGTTTGCCCTCTGTGTCAGGTTGTTTCTGAGAATGAGGGTGATGCCCCCTTCAGGTAGGATGTCCAGCAGCCACTGACCTGGTCTATTTGTCCCTGGCCTGGGGGAGCTGGACTGCTCCATTAAAAGGGAGTGGAAATGAGGTGAACTACATAGGATGGCCAGTTCTTAGCATGGTCCAGAGTTTTGGTGGTGGTGAATGAAACTAGGGATAGTTTCAATGCAAGGGCAGCTGGAAGGCAGGAAAGATGTCTGTCCTCTGCACACCTTCTAGCATCTTCGTGGTGCATCTGACTGGGGAAGTCTTCATACCCAGTTGAAATGACTGATCCTCTCATGGGAATGATTACTCAGTTGGATTCAGCACACAGCATTTTGGCTGATTTGGTTTTCTTTGTCACAGAAGAAAGACTGCATAGTCTTTGACATCCCCTAGGTTAAAAAAAGAAGAAGAGGAAGAAAAAAAAGAGAAAAAGAAAATATCAATGTAGTGCATGGTATTTTCTGGGGTCCAAATAGTCAAGGTAAGTAATTGCCATTTAGAAACTCTCCATACTTTCCAGACACTGTCCTGGGTTCACAGTGTCCATTTTACAGATGCCCTCAGTCCAAGAGGATAGGCCTTATCAAATCTGCTTCACAGAGAAAGAACCTGAGGCTCCTAAAAGCTGCCAATATACCTGAGTCCATAGTGCTGGTGACTGGCAGGGAAGTGGCGGTGCCAGGATCTGAATCTGTCTAAAACCCACACGACCTTACTCCTGCCATCCTGAGGCAGGTCTTGTGTGTTATAACTCACATTTCCTTTTGCTACTCCAACATATATCTTGGGCTATCAGAAAAGGACTTTTCATAAAGCACTGATTGGGAATACATGACCAGAGCAATTCAAGTATCAAACAAAAAAGTGGAGTGGGATGGGGTAAGAATGAAGAAAAAAGAAAATAGTTGGTGATAATGGTTACCTCCATTTGTATGCAATGTCATATCACCTCAAAAGATTAGGGGTGCACAGGAAGATCTTGCTCTGCCCCTTGCCTGTAGAAAGTCAATGAACTAGAAACAATGTTCCATCAGAAGCTGTGTCTGACTGCTGAAGGGAAGGAAAAGAGTAGATGGCGCCATCTCTGACAGCCTACCCCCTGTCCTGGGTCCCCTGCCCAAATGGCAAACAGTCTCACCTTTGCTGATAGCCTCAGAGGCCCCATACAGCCTTAGCTGGATGTTGCTAACCCTGAGGTTTCAGAAAGGTAATGACCTTGGTGGAAGGGCCGTGGAATCAGGAAAATGAAGGATGGAGAACCAGGACTTGTTGGGTATCCAGATGAGGACCCTGAATGTGGACTGACAAGACCACTCCGCCCATTATCCAAAAATCTCTGTCTCCCAGTGCTCCGCCCCTGTACTCAGCCCTGCGAGGATGGACTGAGCTGCAGGCTGCCTTCTGCCTGTGGTTGACTGGCCTGCTGTCCCTGAGTGCGGTATATCAGACTGCTCTTCAGAAGAGTCAATTGGAGCCCTAAGTGCAGTCTGAATGAAGACCCTGAGTGCTTTGGCGAGGACTTCTCCCCAAAAGAGTTCACTGAGCCAACCCTTGCCCAGGACCTTGGTTTAAGGAGTGCTGCAGAGAGGAGACCTGGATCCTACTTGGAGTCCAGGTGAGGAAGCCAAGTGTACCATTTGGACCCCTGTTCAAATGGTGGAGGCTGGCAGGGCTCCAACTCTGTTATCAGGACTTGGAGCTCTAGACAGGGGTAGCCAGGGTATCATAAGCCTCCAATTCCCCTTCCAAGGGGGTAAGGATGTGATGGCCTTGTGGGGAGGCTTTTAGATTCAGGTCACTAAGGAGATCTCTGACAAGCCCAGGATAGAGCATGTCAGCTCCAGGGCTGTCAGCAGTGAATGCCCCCTGGCAGGGTTGGTGGCTGAGATGCCCCTTCTCTTTCTTGCAGAGGATTCCAGGCCAACTTTGAGATGTCAGCTTCAGCACAGTGGAGGGAAGGGGCTCAGGCCCTGTCACCAGCTGATATGATGACACTGAATGTGACTTAAGAGGTCCACCATCCCAGAAGAGCAAGTCCACACTATCAGCTCTTTCCATCACTCCAGGAAATCCAAGGCAGGGCTGGCAGGCTGCAGGACAAAGTACACTCTAACTTCCTCCATGGGGTCCTCAGGGGACAGACTAACTGAGAGAATAGGAATCCCACAGGGTCCTAGAGCAGCACCCACAAAGATACCTGCACAGGGGCCTTCTGAAAGCCAAGGTGGCACCTCCCTGCCCAGGGGCTCACAAACCTTCTGTTCCTCCTCCTCCACATGGCTGCATCACATGCCCTCCTGTGGTTGACTGGCCTGCTGTCCCTGAGTGCGGTATATCAGACTGCTCTTCAGAAGAGTCAATTGGAGCCCTAAGTGCAGTCTGAATGAAGACCCTGAGTGCTTTGGCGAGGACTTCTCCCCAAAAGAGTTCACTGAGCCAACCCTTGCCCTGCTCCCAGCCCTGGGAGACCCCTAATGGCCTCAGCTGGGCTTGTCTCACTCTGATTCCCACCTTGGAAGCTTCCAGGACCAGAGGACCTGGGTCTAAGGGATGCTGCCTCAGGCTACCAGAATCCCAATGAGAGGAGAATAAGGTCTGGAGGCAGGGAACCTAAGGCTGATTCACACTGACTTTCTAAAATTAAATCAAAAGGGAAACCCCAACTTTCCACTTTTGTCCTAAGTAACAAAAAGACCAGAGGCTACTCCCTTTGCAAACCACCCTCCCTTTTCTGCTTTCCCTAACTTTGTATGCAACTCCCACACAAAGTTGCACAGGAGTGCAAACTTGTAACTTTAGCCTCTGATTGCTTGCTTCCTGCAACCAATCAGACATTTGCATAGGAATGTAACCTTTGTAACTTCACTTCAGCCTCTGATTTCTTGCTTTCTGCAACCTCATTTGCATGGGGTGAACACCAAGAAACCAATGGGAAACCTTTAGGTTAGGGAAACCTTTAGGGGGTATTTGGACCCCAGAAGATTCTTTAACAGGGCCTCAGGCTGCTGCTTGGGTCACTCCCACCCTGTGGAGTGTACTTTCATTTTCAATAAATCTCTGCTTTCATTGCCTCATTCTCTCCTTGTTTGGCTGTAGGTTTTATCCAATTCTTTGTTCAAAAGGCCAAGAACCTGGACAGCTTGCCTTCAAGACCCTCTACCCGTAACACCAGGACTGGTTGGGTATCAAGGTCAAGACCCTGATTGTGGACTGAAGGACCTACCTGCACACAGCCAAGGCAGTTGCGTGAACTGCCCACCCCAGCCCCTCTGCCCCTGCCCCTTGCCGCCTCAGCCCTGTCCCAGCTGTGGCTTTGAAAATTCCCTGGAGTTTTCCAGGGAGGGGAGGGCTTGGTTTTAGAGTGGGGACCTGATTCTGCAGAGAGACCTAATTCTACCTAGGTCCTAATCGAAGCAAGGACCCTGCTGCTGATGAGGGGACCTCTCCCAAACACAGAGGGCCCACAAGGTGGGGTGCTGTGGCTCACAACTGTGATCTCAGCGCTTTGGAAGGCTGAGGGAAGAAGTTTGTTTGAGCCCAGCAGTTGGAAAGCAGCCTGGGCAACAAGGCGAGACCCTATCTCTCCAAGAAAGAAAAGAACAAAAATTAGCCAAGTGAATTAGCAGAAAGCAAATGGCTCAGCAGAAAAAATAGGGAAATTTTTTTCCTTCTCTTCTCCCAAGGATGCACTTAACAATGTCAGGAGACATTTTTGGTTGTTACACTAGGGGTAACTGTGTGTAAATGGGATCTAGTGGGTAGACGCCTAGACTGCGGCTAAACAGTGTCCCACGACAAAGACTTCTCCAGCCCTGAATGTCCTTAGTGCTGAGATTGAGATATGCTGGGAAGTGACAACCCATGAGGGTTTTGCCCATGAAAGGACGACTTTCTCAAAGAGTGTAGGTGGCAAGAAATACGGGCTAGATTATCAGCCAAATGAAATTCTCTTACCTCATGGAAGGAAGGTC